GAATTGGTTTCTACAGGCCTCGGGGCGCCATTACTCTTCACTGTAACTATTCGAATTCTTAATCTCCCTCTACTTTATTTAATTTTTTTTTTTTTGTTGTTAATTATTGTTATTGCTGTTGTTGTTATTATTAAGAATAAATACCAACAAAAACAACAACGTTCTAAATCCTTTACTGGGAGGAGAGGAGAAATATCTACATTTAATGTATTTATCATTTTTCTTCTGTTTTGAGTATTTGATCGGCCACAATTAAGTGTATCTATCCGTCGCCGCAAGTATTCTTATACTGCTTAGATGAAAATAGCCTAATAAAGATCTCTCTCTCTCTCTCTTTCTTTCTCTCCCTCTTTCTCTCTCTCTCTCTCTTTCTCTCTGCCTTTTTTTTGTTGTTTCGATCCTGCGACAGTGATATTCGCCTATTAAGACTTTAAAATTTTTCCTGCATCCTTAGCAAAAATTTCTAAATTGATAATTACATACAATTTTATTTGTAATTGTATTGAGACTAGTGTATTAATAGTTGTGCCTAGTATTCGTTTAGTACTGAAATAATGTATTTTACTTTTGTCTTTGTAATTGTTTCTTGTAGTAGAATATGAGTTTGAGTTGATCTTAGGTTTTCAGGTCTTAACAGGAATTATTTCCGTAGATGGATTTGTTAAGTGAAATATATGATGCTGGGCGTAATGCTAAGATTAACTCACTTTCTACACACTTTCGCACAATTAATTACATTCTCTTTAAATAAAAATTATAATCTGTAATTTGACATTGTGGCCAGACTCATTAAACTAAACAACTTGTGTGTGTTTTTCCGTAAAGGCTCCTTTTGCATTACTACAAGTCATCGTCGACTTGCAACCACAATTGGTTAAGATCGAAAGATTATAAATCGGCATGTAATTAATTTTGCAATCTTTTTATCTTTCTTTAGGCATTATTGTATTTTTTATAATTTTTTATTTATTTATTTTTTTTTTTTTTTGCATTTGTTAGAATTTGTATCATCTCTCTACACATTGGTCACGTTAAGTCAAACACTGTATACTACAGTACAGTTGGTTTAATATTTCATAAACATACAAAAGCCAAAATACAGGTACAAATGACAGGAAACATTTTAATTACAAAACATACCAAAATACAAAACATCTTATTAGCCACTGGTACTTGGTTGTGGATCGGCGATGACGTCAGCTGTTTATACAGACTCGCCGTCACAGCCTCTCAGGCGGTAGGAAGATTTTTGATACACTTATAAATGTTGAACTGTTTCCAAATGTCTTACAACGATAATCCTGGGTCGGCGTCTATAGAGGCTATGGCTTGAGTGAAGGTCTTTCGAGGATAGTTGGCCTTAAATGCAGCAATGGAACCTTGGTCCATAGAATGGATGCTTGGCGTTGTGCTTTTTTTTTGCGGGGGGGGGCGCTTTCACGTCGGGATGGAGGTCGTCTAAATGACGTGGATGTCCAGGCACATTACCAATCAGCAATAAAATCTCGAAACGAATTTCTCTCTCGCGAAGCTTGGAAAAAACTCACGCTTCCAGACACGTCAATTCGTGGTCGCAAAGTGGAACAGTCGTAAGTCGACGACGACCGCCACCACCACCTGTATATTCTTTTATTTATTACTTCTGACATTTATTAAAATCTCCGATCATTTTGTTCAGTAACTATTTGCACTATTTACATCGTTCGAACTGTTGTCCTCCTTTTTATTGGCATATTCACGACGTTTTGGCCGTTGTACGCTCCGACCATCTTCAGGTGATATACGTTGTAATTTCGAACAGAACTCTTTATTTAGTCCACGGGGTGGGGTAAGGTTGATTGATTCCACGTGCCATGCCTTTTTTTGATGTATCAGTTAATTCCCTATCAGTAATTGAACTCTCCAAGTTTTTGTTCCGTCTGCTGTGGCCAGATATTGAACTCACAACTCTTTGGGGTTTTTTGGATTAAACAACCAACGCTTTAATCAGCCGAAACGTAGTGAATATGGCAATAAATATAAGGACAACAGTTCGAACGATGTAAATAGTTACAATACCTCATCTCAAAAATGTAGACAGCTTTTTTAGTAGTTGTAACAAAGGTTTATATCAATTCTTTTTTTCATTGTAGTCGTTTACAGCTAGATTTGTGGGTAAAGATAATTATCTTCTGGGCATAGAATTTGTCGGTGAAACATTTCACGTATACTATTGGCATGTATATTTCGAATTCATCTCTTAGTCTTTAGTATTAAGTAATTTTTTGAATGTCTTTTCAACGTATTTAATTTCTTGTTCACGATAGCTAAATGCTGAGATAAAAACCTATTGTCATACCGTTTTTAGTTTTCTTGCTCTGATGTGAATAAAACAATATATGCAGTCATTTGTTGAATTTCGATATACTTATAGAGGGGTGGCAGAAAAGACTTAATATAAACTGACTCTCAACCCTTAAGCTGAAAATTAGTGAACGTTACTTTTTCCATGTTATAAAATGTTCATTTACGAAATGAAGATGCTATTTTGTCTGCAGTCAGAAATTATAACTTTAGTCCCGTAACCCATTAGGGTCATGGGGGGGGGTCACAACATATACTGCTGCCGACTGTAGCCGAAATACCTCTTCTTCCACATAATGGTAAAACATTAACTAGATGTAGACACCATTGTCACTAATGTCATACCATTATATGGGAAGTATATTTTTGGTAGGTATATGATATTACATAACATTAATAAAATTATTAATATCATTAAAGGATTTTAATAATAACATTAATCTGTAACAAAATTTTAATTACAACCTCTTAAGTTTTTGATCATGATATTTTTAAATTGTCTAAAGACTTTATGGACACGCTGTATTATTAAATAAAATATAACTCTATACTTAAAAACATTTATTCATGACTCGGCCTAAAATTTTCTTTGGTTTGTTTATAGACGTTAAATTTCCTTTAATGATTTAAACACGTCTGCAATTTCATGTGAGCTTCACTACTGACTCTTTACAAGTTAGTTCCTGTTTGCCATGTTCAGCATTTACTGAGATAGTCACATATTCGTCTCTGATCGGAGACAAGATAATGATATTCGAATCTTTGTTTCTTTATCTATTCGCTCCATTTCTCATTAATTTTCCCAGGTGAACGATAAAACATTTAGCTATGGCCATGCAAAACAGACACAGTTAATAATAATAATAATATCAGCAGGTGTGACTGCCGTACATATTCGTGTATAAGCCGGGGTCATATATAGTGCGAGCCGTTTTTTGTTTTTTTTTTTTAAGAAACTGATCATAAAGAATTCACGTTATAGACGAGTATATACGGTACTTACAGACCAAATATTTTAAGAGGTCACTTTCTGATTGAAAGGATCCAGATTTTATTTATTGGATTTCCTAATTTTAACAGATCTTGTAACAAAGTACTATATATACTTGTGTATAAGTCGACTTCTTGTATAGTGCTGACCCTGAATTTAATTTTTTTTTTTTTTATGAATTTTAACCCCTCCGAAAATGCATGAATTTTTAACTTCTTCAAAAGAATTACCTGTGTATAGTGCGAGTCCCTGCTTTTATTTTTAAAAATTCGCACTATATTATAATATAAATTTTTCAGGTTTCTCCAATGTATTCTTTGTGTAAATTATTACAGGCGTTAGAGTAAATTCCAGTTTTGGTTAATTATTTTGTTTTGTATTAAGTTTTTTTTTTTTTTTTTTTTTTTTTTTGATGGTTGGTGGGGAAAATAATAATCTTGCTTCGTTGGGTTTGGCAGAATTGTCCACGTTTTTATTTTAAATACTTTACGAATCTTTTGTATCGCGTTAAATAAAAAATAATTAGGATATTGAAAGTGCTGAAAACGATTTTCAATGTATTTCTCCTCTTCCCATGAATATCGTTCTACAAATTCAGATTTCTCTTAAATAGAATCTGGTAATTATTCCTGATTTCATTTCATGGTGAGAATAGAAACTTCAGATTTTTTTTCTTTTTTTATGATTCGGGATACTCAACGGTTAATCAATTGTCATTACAACGTAGCATATCAAGAAAGGTAGAAGACACATGGCCCGAAAAGTGTTGGTGGAATCCAGTGATTTAATCCAAAGAGTTGTGAGTTCGATACCTGGTTAAAGCTGAGGTGAACAAAACATTGGAGAGTTGAGTTAAAAGGCAGATAACTGATATCCGGAAGTAGTATGACACGTGGAACTAGAACAATCTACCCAGGTGGAAGAAATAAAGGGTTCGGTTCGAAATTCCAAACACCTGAATATGGCAACAAAGATGAGGACAACAGTCCGAACAATGTCAATTATTACATTACCTCATCTCAGAAATAGGCAGTATTTGAAATGAACGATTCACTTTTATTAAACAAACTATCCACGTTCTAATGAAAAAAGTCTGATTTAAAAAAATAAATAAATCCATTAATTCTTTAGAAATTTGTGAGCGTATATATATATATATATATATATATATATATATATATATATATATATATATATATATTCTACTTTTTTTGGTATGTAAAAGGCTTGTTTGCTGAATGATGACAATATATCTGCGCGGTTAGGTTGAAAACAGATTCGTCATGCGCAGATTTAAACTAACGGAAGTCATTTGTATGGAGGCTATGAATTTTGATATTCCAAATCGATAGTCACGTTTGAAGCTTTAATATGGTTCGTAAGGCAGATTTTGACCGATAAATAAAAATATTTGACAACATCAAATCTTGGAAAAATATCAACAATGCTAGAAAACTTAAAAAAAGAAGACTTAGATGCAACCGAAAGCCCACACGACAACTACACTTCCTTTTAGTAACGCAAGTCTTACTAATTAAAACATAGCTGGAGGTAGAAGTGGTGGCTTCATACTTTTCCCCAAGAATATTTGCGCCTAAGTAAATATAACGGACCGTATTGGAATTGGAACTTGGCTCTCCGATTAACAATTCCAAGCCATTGCCCATTACAGCACCTGCTATTCCCAAGCGGTCACCCATTTAGGTACTGACCAGACTCGTTAATTGCTTAACTTCGGTGTTCGTACGGGAACTGGTGTTTCAAAGTGATATGGCCCGTATAGGTTGGAGTAAGCGCAAAACTGTATGTGCACGAAATTGCTTATGTGTTTGGTTCACTTTTCAAACGCGATTACATTAAAGAGTCTGGAAACCGATGACTTTGTATTTCTTTATTGTTTCCCGGTGACGGAATTAGATTACGCTGATGAGCTGTTTTCGGCTTTAATTACTTTAAAAGGAAACTCACTCTCACTTTCTCTCTCCTTCTCTTTCTCCCTCTCTCTCTCTCTTTCTACACCGAACTTTTTGTAAAACCTTCCTTCCTTTGTTATAAAAGTCGTGTCCATCAATCTCTCTTTCTTGTTTGTACTCGGGAGTAAAATGTTTCATTCTGTCAGCACCAGCAGACACCTTGTGGTTGCCGCATATTTTTTGCACTAGGCCTTGATGTCATGAAATAAAATACTACGTTAACAAATTCCGTGGAAAAGTTTTAAAAAATGCACCAAGAAACTTTTAAAAGCGTTCATTAAGATGATTCATTACTCAGTTAAATTAGTGTTTCATGTCAAAGACAACAAAAATAATAAGAATTTAGAAAGCAATAAGTTTATTTGTACGAAGACGTTATGAATGTATGGATTGAACTTTGAAGTTACCTTTACTATACATGGATGTAGTAATAATGTTTTTCAGGGAGAGAAAACCCTTTATCTAAAATATTCCTTTACGAAAAATTAGGCCCAAGCCCCAAATTGTGAAATCTTAAATCCGTATTTAGCCACACGCAACATTTGTTTTGCCTTTTACTGTTGTTGTTTTTTATTTGATTTTTTTGATTTTTTTTTTACTTGTTTTGATTTTACAGTTAAGTCATAATAATCGAAAGATGGGGATAAAAACAATTCTCCTCAATATTATAAAATAATTATTTAGTCATACTGTATAAAAATGACGTGCACACACACACACACACACACACACACACACACACACTCACACACGTGAGTTTGTGTCATTTTTATACAGTATGACTAAATTATATAATACACACACGCGCACACACGGAATTTTTTAAAAAATTGTGTCTATATATTTCAAAACTTGCATATATTCGGGTATAAGACGACTTCATGTCTAATACGACCCCTGAATTTTGGAACATTAAAATGTAACCCCTGTAGAAAAAATACCTGTGTTATAATGGAACTGGTCACCGAAAATGCATGATTTTTAACCTCTTCAAAAAAAAAAAAAATCTGTATATAGTACGACCTACAGTGTTTATTTTTTTTTTTGTTGTTGTTGTTTTAACTTAGAAAAACGTACACTATACATGTGCGTAATATATATCTATGCTTCCCACTGCTGGGTCTGGAAAGAGCTACCTCTTGCACATTAGTTCGAAATAATAAAATGATAATAAAATTTCTAATCTGGTGCATTTTAATAAAACCTGCTTAAACGAAGGATTGCTGCCTAAAACTACTGTTATATATATATATATATATATATATATATATATATATATATATATATATATATATATATATATAAAGAGACTGAAGCTGACAAAAGCAAATAATGATGAAAAAAAAGATTAATATCTAGAAAAATCGATCGCTTATCAATCGATTCGCCTTGGAAGAAGACTAGTTGAAAGCAGTTGCCGAAAATGAGGCCGAGACTAATAAAATAACCTTTAAAAAAAATCCTATTCATACATCTGAGCTTCTGTCGCTTTCTAAAAGTGAATCCACCTACCGTTTCCTCTTCCTTTTCTTTCATAGTTTTTCTTTCCTTTGCGTATTAAAAATACTTTGACAAACTAGCAGATAGGGTTATTGATATCAGTAGCACGTAAGTATTGTAGATTTTACAAGCGTAGACACTAAGAGCAAACTTCTGATTTCCTAGTCTCTTGAACGCGCAGAAATTAATGTGAGCTTCTAATTTGACGCTACGCTTAAAATCTTCCCAACTTTCTTAAATAAACTGTGTGTTGGAGATAAAAATGCTAACACACGGTCAATAAATAGATAACAAGATTAAGCGTAAAAGAATGGCCATGGACATCGTTGGGTTCATTAAGAACCCAGCAGCGTCTTCATTTGCTATCTCTCCCGGGATTTTTAAGGAGTTTTGACGAGCTGCTATCACACCTACACTTTCTGACGTTTCCTGCCATTAAGGACAGCCGTTTTGGCTTGACATAGTCAATATGTCCGCCATTTTTCTAACTAGAAAGATAATAATCACTATGAATGTTCGACTCAAATGCCCTGAGGGTGTGAAAGAAGAGAAAAAGAGACGTGAGCGAGAAGTTGACTGACAGCACTTCAAAAAAATAAATAGCTTTTCTTTTTCTACTTGTTTCCCACACATCCTCATTTAATTATCAGATGTAATGGATTAGTTTTAAGCAAAGTACAAATTGATGCCATTTCCTGGATTCAAGGAAGAACAGATTATAGCAACATTATTCAGAGCGTTATGTGACGCTAAACTATCAAAACTAACAACGGATATAGCAGATACTAGATTTGATACCGGTAGTAGAGTACGATAGTTCTAGAAACAAATTTCCCGTAAATTAGAGAATAAGTATTTTTCATTGTGGAGTAATGGATAGCGGCTCGGATTGAGGAATCGGGGAGCCGAGTTCGAATTCCAATCGAATCGATTACATTCACTTACGTGCTAATACCTTTGGGAAAGGCATGAGTCCTCTTCTAAGCTCTGAGTCAGTAGCAGGACAGACCGGGTTCTATAGCCTTGAAAAAAAATAGCAACAGAAAGAAATGGCAACCTACTGTGGGAAAAAATCTGCCTCGTCAATCATGTATCAAAAGATACATGATCGCCTAAGCGTGTATCACGCACTGACATTATGGGTAATAGATAGATGGCGATTAGACATGACACAAGGGAAACTGGATTCATGCCTTTTTTTAATAGTATCCGTATAAGTGATATAAGCAGAATTGGAACTCCCTTTGTGGGCTGAAAGTTGATGTAATATCTGTCCTCTAATAGTGAATGCTGGGCAATCTCCTCATAGATGAAGAAAAGACTTAAATCAACAAAAACTTGGTTCCAAAGGAAGTTGAGAAAATCATGGACTTAACATATGAGCAATGAATAAGTTTTAGAAAAAAATGGAAGTAAAAAGGAAACATATACTCATTATCAGTCAGAGACAGCTGAAATTTCTAGAACACAATGAGGAAAGAGCGTTTAGAAAATTTGATACGCACAGAACATATTGAAGGCAAGAGAAACAGAAAACTGGCGCGTAGACAACCTTGCGAGCTTGCATAAATGGTTGGCAGAACGGGGATTCCATGAGATACAGTAAAAAGAAAAAATATTTAGAGCTACAAAGGACAGAAAATTGTGAAGAGCCATGATAACATAGATTGTCCTAAAAAATAGATCAGCAAAACTATACCGAAATTTGAAAAAAAAATGTACAAACACAAAAGAGTCTTGAAATTAACCTGTAGAGAAACAAAAGGCGATTATCTCCCTTTTGTTGAGATGAAGTCACGTGAGTGACATCACCTCAGAGTGGCGAAAATAGCCAGGCCGTCAGTCAATTGCATGAAGTCAAGACTAGAGTTGTTCGTTTGCTCGGGCGAGATAAGACCTCTGCCTGGTCCAGACAACAGCCATATGGGTAACCTACAAGACCATGGAGCAGTTTTTCTTTGGGAATATATCTTCACCATATCGTTTCTATATAACCGGCTCGCAGTTCTCATGTTTGACTCGCTGTCTCCTGTTTGACGAATATGTTCTCGCTAGTGATACAGAAGATAAATCCGGCCCGTACGAATTTTGGGAATCCTAATATGCCTTCTTCAGAAATGAAAGAATCCTCTGGTAGCTCAAATTCCCGCTTGGAATTATTACATGTAAGACACTATCTTTCTTTTGACATTTTCACACTGCTTGTTGTTGCATACATGTTATAGTTTCTCTATGTGGAACGAATGTAAATGTTTGTCTACAGCTTTGTGTATGAATTAAGGGTATAAAATTCTCTGAGAATAAAGCATATGTTTGAATCATTTTCTTCCATCTATTCCGTTTCTGTCCGTGTATGTATAATATCATAGATATAATAATGCTCATAATGGGGGAAATAAAAACTGGGAGAATATTACTTTCTCACAGCACTCTCATTAACTAGTGAATTACCCCCGTGACATAATACTAACACTCATTAACTGGGGGCCACGATGCGATATTAGTAACCCCCCACCCAATTAAAATAACACACTGTGCATTTGTAGGCCGCTGAAAGAGTCGTTTTCTATTAGTAGATATTAGACTTATAGTGAAGTATTGAAAGTACTATGATCTACGAATCCGCAACGATCAATATGCAAACGGACTATGGTGTACGGCCATATCACGTTGAAATATTTGTTTCCTGTAGTTGAGCAACGTTGAACCGGTAGGGTAATCGCTAAGAAATGCCAGGAGCTGTAAGCTTGTCCGGTCGGGTTTGTTATATTCACTCCTGCGCAAATAACCTTGGGAAAAGTATGATCCACCTCGTTTCTCCCCCTCCCCCAGCTAGAGGTTAATTAGAACTTGTATCAGTAAATCATTATCACCAAAAATTTATTAAAATCAAAATATTTTCTGGCTTTAAATAACCTCCCAAACTGTTGACAAACTGTAAAAAAGTAAATCCATCAAACGGAATATTTCAGTTTATCGCCTGTTCCTAATAAATTATTACTGAAACTGTTGCATACAAAACTTTAAAATAAATAAAAGCTAAGTTGAAATTTATTTTAAATCTAATTTTTTAAAACTAAACAATTGTGTGTTGTTTTTTTTGTTTTGTTTTTTTAAGTGTTCATATGCTTAACGTGAATGTCATCTTGTCTCTTGTTGAAATTAAATCCATGAAGGCCCCGATTTATCGCTGAAGAATGTCAAAAATAGATTTTTTTCCCTAAATTTGCTCTTGATTGCTATCTAGTACTTAACACAAATAATTGCGTACGATATTAAAAAAATAGGAAGATAAGATCGGTC